TTCCATTGTGAGTGCGTCGTAGAATTGTCGTTTGTCTTTTCTAGCACTCTTCTTTACTTCTTTATTCAGTGCAGTGTACAGTGAACTCAGCTTCTCCTTCTGTTGTCCATCCTTGCATTGGGTCATCTCGTTCACCATCCTCCTCTTCTCTCCTCGATTAGCTTCCAGGTATCTGTTGACGGTCATTCCTTGTCTTGTCTCTTCTTATTCGTAGAAAAATTGTACACATGTCCTTAAATAAGGCTTTCAGAGCTCCAATTTTCTTCCACACAGGTTTCCTCAGTGATGCCATGTAGTGTGTCCGACTTTGCTCTGATGTCTGTAACGAAGGCATCCATTGTAGTTTTGTCATTCAGTTTCTGAATGTTGAACTTGAATTGTGGTCTGTCTCCATTTGTTTTCATGGATTTCAGCTTCACCTTGAAGGTTCCTTGAACTAGATGATGGTCTGAGACTACATCTGCTCCCCTTCTTGACCTTGTATCCTGCTGGCTGTGTCTCCGCTTCCTTGAGATTGAGATGAAATCTATTTGGTTTGTGGTATGTCTGTCAGGCGAAATCCATGTCACTGGCTTTGTGTGTATCCTTGTGTTTGTACATGCAACATGTACATGGCAACTCGAACTGCTGCACTTCGGTGCCAAGTTCTATGTTGAATCCAGACAGACAGACAGACATGCTCCCTCCGATCACCAAATCGTTAAAAGAGCAGAAGTCTGCAACTAATTCTCCGTTCTCATTCATTTCTCCGAACGAGAGCCTCTCGACCCATGATAACTTCTCTTCCTGTATTATCTGCTCCCAGTTACGCGTGCATTCATATCGCCCATAAGGATTTTGATGTCACCATTCGGGATGTCCATTACTGTTTGTACTTGTCTGTAAAAATCCTCCTTTTCTTGATCCTCGTTGTTTGTAGGTGCGTAGCATTGGATAATTGTGACCTCCCTTCCTTCTTTTTAAGTTGAATCTTGCTGTCAGGATCCTGGATGAGGTGATTGGTTCCCACTGCATTATTTCTGTGGCTGCCCCTGGTGACATCATGATAGCCACTCAGTGCCTCAGTGTGTTCATGGTGTCGCCTGGGCGACCAGACTGGAGTATATTATTGATTATCCCGTTGACAGTGTTGTCAATCCACATCCATTGCATCTGCTTCCGCAGATACCCAGTACTTCTAAGCCATATCTTCGTATCTCCTTGGCTGCCTGGGCAGCCTTCCCAGTCTGTTACATTGTACGGACATTGCACGTACCCATTGTTACTCCTGCTTTCATCGAGAGAAGACACGTTGGCTGACTGGCTTCCCGAAGGCTTTCACCAGCCCGCATCATTTCGCCTCTCCGATTCTAGCGAAGAATAAGATTTTTATTTGAAGTTTATTTTTATTATATTTTCTGTGCGTTGAAGTTTCTCTAGCGGTTTGAAAGATTTAGTGGTGTGGGGTTGCTAGCCGCACACTCAAACCCCCCTCTTTACCTGGGCTTGGGGCTGGCTAGGAAAGTAACGAACTAGTTAACTAGGCGAGGTTACCAATTACAATATCATGCACTATTTTTTGTATTACCTTCATTACGAAGTGTCTTACGAGAGGCTTAAACAAAGTTTTCCTTACAGAAACTTTATTACAAATGATAGCAAGCTACATTCTAAAATAAATAGCCTAACTGTTCACACGTGATGATACAATACTATCTATCCTAATAATTATCTACAAAATTTAATTGAATTTATGGACGTTTTCGTAAAAAATATTAGTGGGAAATATATATTTCTAAACTCAGGAAGTTGTCTTTAAAATCACTTATTTATTTTATCTAGAACATCAGTTCGTCTGTTTAATAGGCTGTTTTTATTAAAGCTATTCTTTCTTCCCAATTGCTGGGGTATATAATCACGCATTCAGTGCATGACACGATAAAAGAAATGACCTTGACTATCCCATGGTCTAATATGTAGTTACAGTTCTATTGATTTATTTAGGTAGATTGTGGATTGGATAGATTGAAATTAGCAAATACCGATGGCTTATTTCATAACATTTTTGGTTATTGTTTGCAATGTAAATGAAAACTCTTAAATATAATGCTTTGTTTAGAAGGAATTCATAGGCTAGTATAAAACTGATAAGTCTCAATTTTGTACTTCAAAATTTGAAAGTCACAATCCAGTTATAAAATTTATCTGTAAATTGCTTATACCTACTGTTCCTGAAAAGTAAATAATAGGTTTCCAATGTCATTTAAAGTAGGATGGATTTTGATTGCTTTTTTTTACCTAATTTATTAAGATGCTTACATTGTTATTAGATAGTTGGAGGCAATCGGTAGGAATCCTTGAAACTAGGTTTCGTGCTTTTTGGCACTTGTCATTAAGGCATATCCGCAAACTTTGCGGAACTCATGTCCCATCTGTAATTTGAACCAGTGGTGCAGTCAGAGACATTGCCACTCATCTGTTAAGGCTGGTGATCGACCTCCTGTAGGGCTGTATTAGATACGTTGATTGAACACTAGGTAGTATGTAACTAGTGTCGTGCATCTAATACGAAAGCTAGGTCCAAGGTTTCCTGTTGATTGCCTTCATCCATCCAGTAATAACAATTCAGAGTGCACCGTGATGCCGAACCATCTAGCATGGTAGTCGCATTTCAAACTTCACTGACAGAACTCAGTCTGCACTAAACAAAAGACTGGATGTATGATACTAGTTACATACTACCTGGTGTACAATCAAAGATTTGTAGGTTTCATATTTATTACCCACAACAGGAAAATACATATGGTGTGATCTAGTTGTCGAATCATTTGTATTTTAAACATAAGTGTTTACCTTAATAGGTGAATTTTTCCATCGACTACAACCATATCAGAATGTAGATTAGTTTTAAATTCCAATAAAAAGTGCCTATTACCACACTTTGTCTTGGATTCTGAAAAGTGGGAGATATGTGCAAATTTATGTCAACTAAACAACATATAAATGGCTTATAAAAGAAAAGAGGTTCAGCGAAGAGTTACTCTTTTGGGGGCGGTATCATTCTCAAGCTGTACAATCGCATATATATAGGGTAGAAACTGTCGACTTGTTCCTTATTGAGGAACAGTCTTTCTGTTTTGAAGTGAATTTTGTATCTATTTGAACTGTGGATGGATTTCAAAAAAAATTTCAAACCATATAGGTAATGTCAAGTAAGTCATCAAAAATGCAACCTAAATAAATTAGTATAAGTGTGTTTTTAATTTTGAGGCTTTTTACTTTGTGTGACATTCGTTTCGAGGTTATGATTCTCAAGTGTTGAGTTGTTAACATTAATTAAGAATCGACCGTCATTTCCTTGAATTTTCAACAACACTTCCCAAAGTAGTTTAGATTATCTAACTTAAGCAGTAAAATGAAATAGCAGTCGCCGACCATGCACATGGTCCGAGGTTCGATCTCCTGCCGACGCACACCTGATATCTATGGTCGGCCTGCGAAATTTAGGCTACCGATATCACATGCTGAAAATTCCATACTTGTACCTAAAATACAGTGTGGAATCAATCTGTAATCAAAAATAAAAAGGTGATAAGTTTTGTTTACGATAACAGGCGTGCTTTCGCATCAAAAAAGATATCTTTTCTTCGATTCTTAATTAAGCAAACACGGTCTTAATAAATTCCTTTAGTTTCGCGTGACTGTAAAGCTTAAAGTGTCCACCTGTAATAGTGGTTTCATGTAATGATTCAATGAAGTTTTTCTGCGTTTGTGAAAAGTTTCATTTGTTCTTCAAATAACTAACTATATATGGTGCAGGCTTTTCTCAGACACTTTGAAACCATTCCTTTCTACAACAGAAAGGCAACTTATACTATCTGCTAACAGCGAATATTTTCCTATCCTTAAGTCTCCTTTCAATTATCATCGTATACTTATTTTTATAACGGTATTATGGCGTTAGTTAAGTACTATGTGACACAGAATCATATCTGATCTCAGAAACGTTTCCTCATTCGAAATATATGGATTGAGTTGATAGTGAATATTTATTGATCAAGAAGTAATGCATACCCAATTCTCAGTTATCCTTGTTTTCAGGGGTTAAAATAAGCCTCTGATGTAAACTCAATTTTTAATGTAATACTGTTGATAGTATTATAATTAGTGTTGCGTGCTTATGGTATTTTTATAAATATCAAGCATTAACAGATGGTTTGATTCACGATACTGCTTATAATGTAAGCTCATTGTTTCCACTGTTAACTTCAAGAATGTTGATATCAATCTGTTATACTGAGATAAACGAATGGTATTTTCCACCATTCATTCACACACGAATGTTATTCCCTATGATCACAAGCGTTTTATGCTGTCCTCTGTCTGTAATCACTTCTAAGTTGTGACACTGATTAAAGTCTGTGAATCTCTTTACAGTTTTACCCAGTTATTTACACAAAATATCTTCAGCTAAGAAGTTAGTTTAGATAAATAACTGACTTAGACGGAGTTTCTACACAGAACTTTGCTCACGAGTGCAGCAGCTCAAGTTACCACATCCCACGTAACAAACACACTAAGGTAGAAAAAAGAAATAAAATATGGATTCATAAATACAATAATAGACAGAAATGTGAGGCAGAAAGAATAGTAACACGAGAGAACATTATATTTTACGAAATTCCTAATTTTTGTGTTAAAATGAATTTTGAACATATAATTTACGGGATTGGGCAAAAAGGGTAGTTAGGATGTTTCGCCAGTATGCTGCACATCAGTGGTACAGCTGTAAGACCTATGAATACTCTCGGGTTTTTATTACACATGACCTACTTTACTGTTATCTGTGAATTGATGCAATGTCAGTTCATTTCAATAAACACAGTCTGTTGCTGATTTAAAAACGAAAAGTTTCTCGTATTTGCAAGTATTATAATTACTCAATTTAAAAAGAAATATGTATATAAATGTAATATCATTTATAGTTTACTAGTATTTTCTTGGTTTTTACTTTTGTTTAGGAAGTCCAAGAAATAGTTCAAGAAAGTTTACGAGAGGTAGCACTTTGTCGTGTTTGTATGGATAATCCAATTTCGCGTGTCTTCTTTCCATGTGGTCACACAATTTGCTGTAGTGTATGCGCAGAACGTGTAGACCAGTGTCCTATATGCCGTAAGAGTATTGAACTGAGACATCCGTGTTTTCTCCCTTGGAGTACTGAGTCAAATGCTGAGGATTTCACCTCTATACTTGGATGTACGTTTAAAGATATTAGCGATCGATTTAAATCTCACAGGAGTTCACGTCATCACAAACACCATATCCCAGTTGATTCAACTTTACATGCAACAGCATCAGCACCTGTATGTGAATTATCGTCCCTTGAAACTGAAACACAGTGGTCAAATAATCGTTCCCATAAGTTTGATCAGTCTAATTCTATAAACCTACCTCCAGTTTCTCCACAATTTTCGACATCTTTACCTGATGAAAACTCCAACAAAGACCACCAACTTCCCTCAACTTCAGGCAATTCAGCCGCTTTACCTATTTCATCTTCTGCTAGTCATGAAAATCCTGAAACGGAAAAGTCTAACGACAATTCTCGTCACGTCACCTGGCAAACAGAAGACTAATAAAGTTTTTTTTTCTATAATGTATTTATTGAATATATTAATAAATATTCACAAAAATATGCATTAAATGTGTATAGATTGTTATTGTTGTTATATTTATTTCGGTGACCTTAAAATTATTCAAAATCTTTATTTACCCTCTGATCAGTTTTGATTGTTTCGCCTTCTCTTCGATTTCCCTGAGTTTATTCCTTCGCTTTATTACTTTGAGTATGTCGTAACACGGTGCAATTGGTTCTCTTTAACAAAAAATGTTTCTTTTTGAGTTCTATCTACTTCTGCTCGTTCTCTTTATGCTTCATAGAAAACCAAATAATACTCTCCATATACACTTTTACAGTCTTTCATTCATTGTATTGTTTTTGTAATTTCATTTAACCAATTAGTTTGCGTTTGGTTCATTTTGTACGCCAAAGAATTTCATTTCTCTTCTCTAATAAAATGATCTGAATCCATATGTGTGCTGGCTTAAGGTGTATATATATATATATATATATATATATATATATATATATATATATATATATATATATATATATATATATATATAGTTTCAGCTATCATACAGGTGATCAAAAAGAGTCTGTCAATTTCCCAATGATCCGGGCTGTTTTGTTTGTGTGTGTGCGTATTTGTTCGCAATATTCAACTGTCTTTTTTGTCTAATTAATCCAGTTTTGTTCTTTTAGATCTAAACACTACCATTATTATCCATGATTCTTGTTATACACTTTAACAAAACCGTCTAATGACTGATAAAATAATCATTGTAAATATGAAAAAAAAACAATTTAATTAAGTTTCTTTATTTACACTTACCGCCTTCAAAATTATATGTTCACTTATCAAGTATACAATCAAGAGAGATAAGTATTTATTGTTGAATTTTTGAACATTTCGTCTTTATTTTTACTTATTAGTTTCCATCAGTTATTACTTCCACTGTATCACATTGATAATAGAAACTTTCGTTGAATTCAACAGATTTTTCAAATGGAATTTAACATTCTAATTGGTTGTTGAAAGAAGACAACATTTCACTAAAGAGTAAATAAATTTAATCGGCTTTCAGTTATATTATACTGTGATATTTTCAAGTTTTCAGAGTAGATTAATGTTTAACCAGTCTGTCTGTTTTGCGACATAGAACTTTGCACAGATGTGCGGAAGTTCAAGTCGCCACACTCCCTCCTTGTAGCACACAAACCAAGAGAAGAAAGTACAAGAAATGCATAATAGAGACACTAAACAGAGGTGTGAGACAAAGGAGTAATAAAGGAAAACAAAACAGTTTCATTGGAGATCATAAGTCACAAGGAGTGGATGCATGTGCGCTAACCATTGAGAACGATTTTGAGCCATGTCACCAATTGTTTCCAACCATAGATTTTTACCGTCTCGAGGACCCCAGCCTGGAAGTCTACACCTTTCTACGTGGCTTAGACCAACTGTTGTGGATTTCATTGACTGGTGCCATGTTTTTGTTTGACCGCCGCTAGCTTTTTTCCAGCCTAACCCTATATCAGTTAACACTGCTCGTCAAGGGAGGCGATGGCTTGGCATACGTAACACATGTCCTAACCATCTCAGTCTTTGTAGCTTCACGACTTCGTCGATAGATTTCCCCTGTTTACCTAGAACTCTACGCCTAACCTCAATGTTGCTCACCTTATTATGCCACTTTACACGGGAAATAGAGCGCAGTGTTTAACCAGTATCAATCAATGTGTTGAATATAAACTTGGAGTTATACTAGACTAGACACTTGACTAGTTTTTATTTCTGAATTGTCAAAGAAACTTATCGGCTACAGTAACATGTCACTCTTGAAATCACAGTGTTTTACTGTGTTGTTGGCATATTCTTCATTCTCTAATGACTACATCTTCAACCGGAGTGAATATAACTCCGTATTCAAAGACTGGACGTAAACGACAAGTTGCTGAGTTATTCCAAAGACTTAGAATTATGAGCGAACCAGTATTTTAAACCTTTATTCTAATCCATTTAGATAGCTCAGTGACGTGTCGTTTAATCTCAGTCGTAAGAAAATCTACTAAAGAGAACTTAGATCTATCTTACTAGCCTACTCTTGTAACAACAGAAAGCAAGACACTAAGCCAAAGTATATTTTTCAATAATCAAACCACTCTTTATGTATCTATAGCTTAGATTCGTTAACCAATCACTGAGCGTGTGATTTCAGTTAACATCAAACGACAAAAAAATGGAATATTCAAATAGTATTATGTTGCCAATGCAGCATTGAACTGTGGGAACATGTGAAAATAAAATTCCATTGGCACACATTGTCTGTTTCACACCATCTCACTGTTACCTCTCAGTGAATCCTATAATCTTTTGCAAATACTAGTTCACAGTGCGATGGTGTTATCTCCCTACTAAATATGCATTTTTTTTGTACTATGAGACTAATTTATTATCTTCGAAAATCATACAGCAGCTGGTCTATGTCCAATCTCATTTTACTCTTGTTAGCAAATATACTTTTAAAAAAAATCTCTTCGTAATTCAACCGTTCTTTTTCTAATTCCTTGATAAACAAGTTCAAGGTATATATGAATAGTTTCATCGATTTTAATCAAATTCTTTCCTTCACTCGTAAAATATTTTTAAGTTTTATTGTAACAACAGAACACAAGGGCCAGACAACAGATCGTTTATCAAGGAAATCAACACCTATTTGTCGATTTTCATGTACATTAGTATAGATTATTCAAGCAAACAAACACAGTCTTCTGATCGGTTGTTTCTCACAGAAAGTTAACCTTGCATCTCTTTGTGGATGTTTCTTGAAAGTCAGATCATCTATATGTTAACTGTATCCGCCTACGCAATGCCTTTGTTCTCATTTTTCTCAAGACCAATACTGGGGACATAAACATTGACGTAAATTACTGTCCACCAATTTCGACTAACAGCCAGTTCTCACCACATTATTACTGTATAACACTGTGATTTATGAAAATAAAATTTTATCCATAATGGAATTTTTAAGTTTTGATAATGATGATGATTCACCTCTGACCACAAATAAATATGGAAAGCAACATGACATATACAATGTTCTTTGGTAAAAATGGATACTTTTGAGATGCTTCACTAGCCATTTGGACCCAAATCGGAAAAGTAAATCCCCTTATTGCTATAGTTGGATGTTGAATTTACCGCATACTTAGTCTTATGGCCTGATAAGCTTAGCATTTGAGTCTTTTAACAAACACCATCACTCACGACAATGTAAATATACCGTGCTAACGAGTTTCAGATAAGAAGAAGCGCACATCCTGGATGGAATCGCTATTTCGCAACTTTAAACAACGACTGAAACCATATTTACTACTATAAAACTTTTTGTATTTCCCAATGAACGATATTGGTTTTCAAGTGTTGGTTTGAAAGGATTTGATTGGTTACAGGATTTCATCATGAGCTGACACTAGTTAGAGAACCATTGGAAAATCTGGGAGTACTGGACAGCTATTTCGTCCTAGTTTGGGACTCTTCGGCAGTACGCGCCCACCGCTAGCCAATGATAATAGCTTTATCAAAGTATTATTAAACCGGAATTTACACAATCTCGGCTTACATATAACAACTTAATCATTGTTTAACAGCATGGTTTGATAATACTTCGATAAAGCTATTAGCCTGAAATAGCGAAATGACAGTAAAAACACTATCGTTCATTGTTTTTCATTCATTAGGAAATACAAAACCTTTTATATTATTATTATTTTATCCTTTAGTTCCTAGAGGAACATAGGGCTTCAGCCGCGCACCGCCACTGCCTTCTGTTTTCTGCCAACCTTTTCACCCCGCTCCAAGTCTTCCCACACGCTTTCATCTCCTCCTCGCATGACCTCCTCCAAGTCACCCCACCCTGGAACTGACGACCAACTCGCCGCTTCCCTTTCGGCCTGATTCTACTCGAGCGATGGCTTGTCTAGTGATGTCACTTGATGGTTTCCTCAGATTATGGCCAATCCATCTCCATTTCTTCCTGACTATTTGTTTCACAATCGGTTCCTACTGAGTTGGTTCGCTCCCAGAGATCTCTGTTGCTGATCTGTTCCGACCGTCCATCTGACCTTGAGTACTGAGCAAAGACAACTGTTGATGAAGGTCTGAAGTTTGTTTGAGATGCTCTTTATGACGCGCTGGCCAAGTCTCTGGCCCGTATAGTGAGTAGCACTGACTTCACATTGGAGTTGAAAATCCGGATCTTATTTTTGATGGTGAGTGCTGTTGACCTTCACACAGACTTAGGAGTAATGAAAGCTTGTCTTGCTTTTCCGATCCTCGCTTTGATTTCCTCGTCAGTTCCGCCCGTCTGTGGTTGAAAAGATGCTTTACAGGTAGGTAACAATGATTATCATATGCCCAATGCCCAAAATGATTTCAAACTGTTAAAAGTTAACTGGGTTTGGTTATACGAAACCATATTTACTGAACAAAGTGATAGAACGGATGTACATGCTGCAATTTAGATTAGGATTTTTTAAAACTAATCATTTTCTGTTGGGCTAAATGCAAATAATCGAACAGAAATAAAAGTGTTGCTGAGAGTATTACACATGATCCTGAAAGAAAAACTGTCTATACAATTGTGAAACTAGCCTTAAAATTGACATCGCTAAGACTTTTTCTGCATGATATCATTTTCTTGGTATTACTTTTGTCTCAAGCAATTCATTATTGTTTAAATCATTTTATAACCGTCAGTGTGGAAATTTATAAAAAGCCAGTTAAGTGAACACTAATGTATAAATGATACGAAATTCGTTTTCAATCATTACTTAACCAACAGTCTTTACACGTTCACTTATTTGAGCACAGTTACATAGTGTATCGATGGTATTCCCCGTATAACCTGTTATTATGTATGTGAATGTAGTTGAAGATTGAACGATCAATTCATGGTTGTTTGCTCAAACCCAAATCCTCCATATTCTTCGCGGGAGTCATCAATCCAACAGTCATCGTCTCATCGTTCGCTGTTCGGTGGAGTATTAAAAACCATCAGAAGTATTATCGTGATTTGTTGTTATAACATTTATTCTTAGACCTTGTGTATAATAACCTTATTGTTGGTTACATATTGGCGTAAGAATAACGGATTCTCGAGTCGTCAATCTGTGTTCTGGTTTTTCGCGTTGGTTAATACATACTGTTCCTGAAAGTCTTTCAAGGACAGCGTGGGGTCCAGTGTACTAAGACCTGGACATTGACAATGTAACATGCAAGAGCATTCAATTGTAGAAAACCTTCAGTCTGACTAATAAGAAAGCGAAATTTAACTGAATATACAATTAATGTGAACAGAGTAGGTGTACACATTTCAGTTGAGGATATATATATATATATAAACAATCGCCGTTTGTAATAATACTGTTATCTAATTCGTCAGTCGAGTTCTATGTATCAATCTAATGCTTATTTTCCTACTGTGACCAACCAAATTAGGCGACTGAGTCCAAC